GAAGCCAGAAAACAGGCCAAACCATACGAAGGACGCCCCACGTCTTATAGCAGGAGATCTTGGAAAAGTAAAAGGACCGAATTTTGGGCTTCTGGTCTAGAAAGAAACCACTATGTACCTTACCCACCACTGCAGCCTTATGCTCAGTACCCACCTGCAGTTCAAGGATACCAAAACCCAAATATGATTCAAAACCCGGGCCCAGCCTACCAAAACCCCTTCAACAAGCCAATGACAAAGCAGATTACCTGCTATTTCTGTGGTAGCACTGGTCACATGGCATCCGTATGTCTCTCGAAGTCAGCAGATAGTAACTCACTAGGAGGAGGGTTTTTTCAGAACAAGAATAATAGTGGAAGAGGGTGACCACACTTGGGGAGAAAAGGGAACAAACTAAAGGAAATAACGAACAATATGGACAAAAGCAGGGAGGTGGTTGGGAAAATCCACGAACCAGAGGCTGTGAGTTATTGGATAAAGGAGATAAACCCACCACCCGTAGTAACCTGCTGGTTAAAAAACCTCGTACCCCTATTCCCAAAAAACATGTGGACCTGGTCAAAAAAGAGGACCCGAAACCCTACAAATTAACTTTGGAACAAAAGCTGTGGTTAAAGGAGGAGGTATATTGATTAGAAATGCTAGGAGCTATAGAAAAAGTAGCTGCAACATCGCTCTGTCCGGTTCCTTGTTGGAAATATCACCAATTTTTCTGGTACCAAAATCGGAACCGAAGCGTTACCGGCTGGTAATAGACTTGAGAAGACTGAATGGGCGGCTACCAGAAAAATCATTCCAGTTCGAAGGTCTGGGGGGCCTATTGAGATCAATAGGGAAGGATTGGTTCATGATCACCGTGGACCTAAGAGATGGGTACTACCATGTCCTGATGAACGAAGAAGCTCGCTGTTTTTTGGGGTTCCATGTAGAGGACACTTGGTTTCAGTACCGAGTTTTGCCGTTTGGCCTCTCCCAGCTGTCTGGATTTTCTCAAAGATCATACAGGCGTTAGTAGCCTATTGGAGATCAAAGGGGATAGCTTCGGGCTCCCATGTCGACGACATTTGGGTGGCCCACCCCTCGGCAGAAATATTGAGGGAAATCCGCGACGAGGTCATACTACGGACCTAAAGAATTGCGGCTTCGTCCTGGCCTGGGACAAGAGCAGCACGACACCATCAAGGGAAATAAAATTTTACGGATTAGTGGTGGATACGGAAAAGGCACAAGTGATCGTGCCTCTACAAGGAATTTTGTAAAAGGTTCGACCTAGACGTGGAGAACCCGCGTGAGGAGGGTATCTTGGCATTCATTATGTGGCTGGACGTGATGGGCCTGGCA